CAGCCTGAGGACCTGGGAAACTTTAGAGGCCTGACCCTGGTGCCAGAAGGTGGTGTTTGGAATGAGCTCCCTGGAGTCCCCATTGCTGGAAAAACCAGCGGCCCTGTGCTTCCAGGCTACTGTCCTGGGCCTGCCAGAGGCTTCCATTCACTCCTCACATCCCAAGGCTTATCTGGGAAGAAGCCCCTTTCCCACAGTAGAGGCCTCACCAGCTCCCACAGGGGCTCTGTCCCTAGCTTCATCCTTGCTGTGGGTGCTTTGCACCGGAGGGGCTGTTTATCAGGCACAGTTGGCAGAAGATGTCCATGAGGACCCAGCCACGGCAGCTGTGGCTTCAGGGATATGCATGTGCTGGCAGGTTCAAGGGAAAGAGGATAGAGCTGCGTGCCAGATGCCAGCTGGCTCAGTGATGTGGTCCAGATGACCCCTGGTGTGGGGGTGGGGGGACTTGGTTTGGTTTTGGTGCTGGGGATGGAGCCCAGGGCCCTGCACACACTATGCAAGCGCTCTACCACTGAGTTACAGCCCATCCCACCCCATCTGACCCTCAGGCCATTCTGCCTTCCCAGATTCTATTATAAGGCACACATGGTCTGATCAACTAATACAGTGAATGTTTAAATTTTTTAAAATGTATCACAATAAAAGGCAGGTTGGCATTAATCTCCTTCAAAATACTTCCCCTAACTTCCAACACACTCGCCCCACCATTCTTGCCACTTTCTGAAGCGGCTCTGGAAGTGCTCTTTATGAGTGTCTTTCATTGTGCTGTCTCAGCTGCCTCCATGCCCAGAATTGATTCAGAACTTTCCCTTGGTGATCATTTCGACTTTGGGGAAGAGGCAGAATTTGCATGGGGCCAGGCCCCATGAATGAGGTGGATGAGCAGGGGCATACTGTTTCCATGAGCCTGCCTTTCTGTTGGATGGTATTGGGCAGCAGCACTCACCGTGTTTCTGATCACACTTCATAAAGACACTCACGAGACCTCTTTGACAATGTCTTTGACAGGAACATAGCGTCACTCCCATTTTTTGGATGAAGAAACCGAGGCTCTGGAAGGCAAAGCCACCAGCCCTCTGTCACACAGCCAGGGAGGGGTGGCTCTCCCTCGGCTGCCTGGGCACCTCCCACTTGGGAGGCTCACTGGCTTCTATCTCGTTCACCCCACAGGACATTGCTGAGCCCAAAGTCCTGGGGCTCACATGGCAGTGGGTGCCGGTTAGAGCCAGGAAGCAGGCAGATCCCCGGCTTGGGGACCTCAACGTCAGGGGAGGCAGTGAAGGAGCAAGTAAATACAAAATCTCCCCCTGTGCTCTGATTGCCTGCGCTCGGGAAAGAGCACCAGGGAGAGACATGTTTGGCTTTGGTTTTCCCAGTCTGGGGATGGAACCTCGTTAACTCTAAGGCCCCTCCAGGCCCAGGCTCAACCTTATGGGAAAGATGGAGGCTGCATGTGAGGGCATCGACCCGTGGGCATGGCAGCCACCTTGAGCTAGCTTTCCTGGTCCTCCCCCTGGTGTCTCCGGGTAACATCTTCCCCTCCTTGGACCTTCCCATCCCTCCCGTAACATGGAGGTGATGAAACTCAAACCGTCGTTTGAACTTCACGAATCAATCCTCCCCGCTTAACACAGGGTCTGGCATCCAGCAAGCCCTCAGGAAACAACAAGGGCCCCTTTATGTCAAGCCCTGGGGCACCTGGGGGCTGGGAGGCGGGAGGGGAGAGGATGAGCCCGCCTCACCTGCAGGTCCTCCAGGTGTCGGGAATGCAGTGTTACTGGCACCAAGTGACCCTTGCCAGGAGCAGCATGGCGGAATGCAAGCCAAACTGGGTCTGCCCATTTTGCAGAGAACGCTGAGGCTCGGGGAGGGCCTGTCGCTTGTCCACTTCTGTCAAGAACAGAAGCCCTTGGGGCCGGGAATTTAGCTCAGTGGTGCTGCCACCTGTGTCGCAAGCTCAAGGTCCCGAGTTCGATCCTCAATACCAAAAAAACCAAACACACAAAAAACCCCAGAAGCCCTCACAGAAATAAGCAGAGCGTTTTCAGAGTTTCTGTTCTAGCTGCATTCGCCCCAGCCCCTTACTCATCTCTCCAACACACACCCATGCTAGACCCTTCCCAATGCCCTGAAACTCCCAGGTGTCTCTATAGCGCATCCCCAGACACCTCTGAGAGAAACAAGACCAATTTCCAAGCCCCAAGAATCAGCCGCAGCGGTTTTGGTACAATGGCGCCATCTCCTGGTTGAGCCTATGAATTAGAGCTCTCGCTGGGCCACTGAGCCACTAGCCTGTGGCTTGGGAACGCTGCCCCCGGGAGCCACGTGACAGGGGACATTGCAACAGATTGAATGCAGCAGATATCAGAATCTAACAGAATTTGTCTTCTACTTAGCCATCCATTAAAGAGATTTACCAAAAAGAGTAAAGATGTCTTCTCTAATTTGTTTTGTTTTGTTTTGTTTTGTAAAGTAGCTATTTTTCATAAAGCATGTGTTGTTTACGTTGGTAAGCAATGAGGTTTATTACTGTTATGGTTGTTTTTCCATGAATTAATAAACATTCTAAAAGTCTTGGTTTTGATTTCCAATATGGGAGATGCGCTATGCCAGTTCCTCTCCTGTTCCTGACTCCTGTCTGCACCTAGTTGTTCATTTAAAGTCTCTCTGGGCTGTGAGCCCACAGAGGCAATGCCTGTTTGTTTCCTGGCTGGGTCCCTGGCAGCTAGCACCCTCGTTAACACAGAGTTGGGGTCGGCAACATTTTGCTGAATGAATGAAAAAGAAGTCGGTGACCTTTGCAAGTGGATGGCAGCCATGCATCCCTAAGTGGCCATTTGCCGTATAGTAAGAGTGAGAGGGGGACCCGAGACCCCAGGGTTTGAGAACTGCAGTGACAGAGGGTTATGGCTGGGGTGGTCAAGAGAGGCTCCTCCCAGGGGGTGATGTTCAGCTGAGGCCTGAGGGCCACAAGACATCAGCCATGTAGAAAGCAGAGGGACACACAACCAGGGCAAAGGGAAGCACTCAGTCCAGTCAGTTCCAGGTGATCGGAGAGGAATGAAGGAGCTGGACCCCAGTGGGCAGCTGGGAGCTGATGGAAGCAGGAGAACCCATTGTCAACCATGCATCTCGTCCTTTGGGGGCACAGGGGACTTAAAGAGACCCTCAATGGGGGTGGTTCTTTTCAGAAGATGCTGGAGCCCAGAGGTAAGAAGGGGTGCCCCAAGATCGCCCAGGCTCGGCAGTGGTAGAAAGAGACCCAAGAACAGGAGTGGGGCCTCTTCTGGCTGCACAGGGCCAGAGGTGCTGGGCAAGTATGTGCAGGTTTGGCCTGAGTACTGTCCTGGGCACTGCTGGCTCAGTTTCTGTCCTGACCCCAGGGTCCTTTCCCCCACTCCCAGTGTCCTGAGCTGGCACCAGCCTCTCCCCGCCTACCCTGCACCACATGGAAGGCCCTCTGCCCGCCCTCAGACATTCCCAGTTCTTACCACTCGTGGGGCAGCCTCCAGCCTGGCGCTCAAGCTGTACCCTTCCTGGAATACCCCCTGCCTGCCCCATATCCTGTCTAGAACTGGCCCCATGGCTGTTGCCACAGCCTCTCCAAAATGCCCTGCTTCAACACGGTTATTTCCTTCCTGCTAAGATTGCCTTCTCCCATCCTTCCTGGCTCCCTCAAGTGTCACCTCTTCCAGGAAGCCCTCCCTCAGCACCCTCACCCTTTCCTCACCTCCCTCTGTTGGCTCCACTGGCACCCAGGGCTCCTCCTATTCCCTGCCTGGTGCTAACACTGAGTGAGGCTTCAGGGCAGCCAGCCTCCGTGGGGACTCAGGCCCTGGCCCACAGCAGCCCCACCAGGTGGCAGTGCTGTGTCCATTTCCCAGAGCAGATCATGGACCTGGCAAAACAGGGCTTCAAACTGCAGTTTCCTGCAGGAATTGCAATCTGAGGACCGACTTTAAAGCTCTTAAAACACTCTGGAAGACTGGCCCTAGCTGTCTAGACCCCAGTTCCTTTTTTTTTTTTTTTTTTTGACAGGGCCTTGCTATGTAGTTCAGACTGGCCTCAAACTGGCAGCAATCCTCCTGCCTCAGCCTCCTGAGAATTAGGGTTAAACAGCCTAAAGATACCACATCCAAGATCCCAAGAAGAGGTAAGTGATCAATCAGTAAGAACTTGGGTTTTCTTTGCAGCTTTGCCATAGGCACAAAGCAGTATTATTTTAAAAAACGATTGAGCTGGTCCTAGTGGTGCACATCTGTAACCCCAGCACTCTGAGGCTGAGGCAGGAGGATCATGAGTTCAAACCCAATCTGGGAAATTTAGTGACTTAGAGAGACCCTATCTTAAAATAAAAAAGTAAAATGGCTGGGGATATAGCTCAAGGCAAAGAAAGGCCTTGGGTTCAATCCATAGTAAGCCCCCCCAAAAAATACTAGTGGAGCTGATGGCAGCACAACAATGTGAATGTCCTTAATACAGTGCCTCTGAACTGTCCACTTAAATATGGGCAAGGTGGTAAATTTTATGTGATGTTTATCTCACCACAGTTAAAACTACAAATAAACACTCCATGTTATAAGCCCCAAGGTCACAGTCCCAAAGAAAGACTGACTCAGCGACACCAGCTGTCCCTTCTCCACCAAACCACCCATCCCTTCCACCTCACCAGCCACAGTGATTTTTGGGGTATGAATTGATTTTTAATATCAAAATGGTACTTTACACAAAAGCAGCTACATTTATAGGTTAAAAACAAAAAGCCAAGTGACGCTCCACTGCTGGATCCATGTCAGAACCAGCTTTGTAATCAACAGCAGAATTTCCATGCACATCCACCATTCCCTGGAAGCCAACGACATGGAACAGACATCTTTTCTGACTCTCGAGAGGGCCCATGGGTCCTGTGTTGGGAAGGGAGCTGATGTCCTGCCCCAGCATTCCCCCCACCTCTCTCTGCTCAGCACCCCCCACGCCAGGACACCAGCAGCCTGATGTTGCTGCACTTGAGGACATAGGGGATGAACCTCAGCAGGTGAAGGCATGGGAGAGGTCAAGACAAAGTGACCACCAGGGCTCAGCTTCTTCTAGCATTAAGTCAAGGAGGGACACACATACACACACACACACACACACACACACACACACACTCTCACTCCTAGAATCTCACAATTATCACCACTGTCAATATTGGCCGAGGCCCAATCATCCTGCCTTCAGGGACAGAATGTCCCCCCCCAATACATTTTCGGTTCTCTGGGGCAGGATCACCTCGTGGATACTTGCATCTCCTCCTGCAGTCACACAAGATAACTGCCCCTTCTCTGGACTGGCAGCCCAAGGCCATGTCTCCCCAGATCTTCTCCAGGGGCTATGTCACATTTTCAAGACAACTCCTCTTCCAAGTCCTCACTGTCACCTTGGTCCTCTGTGCTTCCCAGTCATTGCAGAGTTACCTCTACCTGGGCCAAGTGATGCAGACCCTGTTTATCTCCAGCGACTGGAGGGTCCTGCTGGTTTCCAAAATTTCTATACAATCAGCTGTATGAAATGTAGCCATAACTCATTACAAGCTCCAGAGTTCCAACTGGGCTGGAACAAACAAATGGCCTTGGAAGACTGAAGCCCCATTCCCACCTCTGCCTTTCTCAGGCCACATCCACACAGCTCCCCAAGGCACCACGTCCAAGTTCCCTGGCCACAAGGCCCAGTGCTTGTCCATGTCACCATCTCTCTCTTGCCACCTTCCCCAGGGACCTTCCAGACTCTCTTTGAATCCTCTGCAACCCCCAGAGGACTGCATCTGCCATTCCCACTGTCCGGAACTCACTCCATCCACCTACCAACAGCCAGGGTTCCGCTTACACTGCCCCTCTTCAGCAAGCCCACCCTGCATGCTACACTGAGGAGCCCCTGATCCCATCCTACCTCTGCACCCGGGCCCCAAGCTCAGTGAAAGCCCCTAGCCACCAGCCAGTGTGAGATCCCCACACGGCGCCCCATGCCTACCAATCTGTACAAGCACTCTGATGACAGGCCCAGAGCAGTGCTGGGCACACGGGGGTCCCCAACAGCCTCAAATCTTACTACTTGAATACAGAGGAGTTCCAATATGGGAGTATTGAATGAGTGTTTGAGTGACATGGGACCCGGCGGCCTCTAGAGGGGAGCAGGCAGCTGCTTCCCAGGCTCAGGGTCTTCCACCCTGCCCTTTCTCCAGACTCCTCCAGGGGGTGCTCTCCTCTCTTCTTTCCTCTGTAGCTCAGGCGTCTGGACCACACTTCAGATCACACTGCCAGCTCTGCGTGGTCAGCTCTGAGCCCGTGGCCATGGCAGAGAGGGCTCTCACAGCACGCCCTGACCCAAACTACTATCCATGAGGCCTCCCAGCCAGCCACTGAAACTCCTCCTGAGCAATCCAGTCCTCCAGACCCTGATCTGTGCTCTCCCATAGACTCCGACTACCCAGCTGAGCCAGCAGAACAAGTCACCCTTCCCATTACCCCCTCACCCTGTGCCACCTCTTAGCGCACCCTGGCACCCCCTGGCCACTCCATAGGCCTCCTCCGCTCTGCTGCCAGCAAGACTTCCTCCAGCAGTAAAGAGATCCTCAATGCAACTAGACTGCATTAAAGACTTACATTAGAAGAGTTAGAAATTAGAAGAAGCCAAGCTACGTTACACTAAGATGTAAAGGGCTGACAGATTTATACTCCTGAATATTTCTATCTGTTCTAGGGTTACCAAAACTCTGACATACCCAAAACAGGGACTCTGGGCCCTGACCTGATGGCTGGTGATTCTACACATAATGTCATATTCTCTGCACACACCAGACAGGCATGTAAAGGTTCATAAATTACATCAGCTTGTGTGGACTATGAGATTATTGTTTAAAAGAGCCAAAGCAAATGCAAAGAAGAGGCTATGTCTATTGGTCAAAACTTTGGAAGTCTGACTCTCGGTCAGACATCACCTCAGCAGGGACCAGCCCTCCATTAGGCCTGGGCCACACCCTACCCTTGGTACCTCTTTTTAAGACCTATGACCATTACTGACATCTGACTGCTCTGACCGAGAGCATCCAGCAAGTCTGACATCACTAGCTACACCTCTCCCTGTTAGTCAGATTCCAAACCCTCCCCAGCCATGCTGCCAACCAAGCTGTTAATAATAATAGTGACAAGGACTGTTACACCTGTTGTTAGTCAGAAAGAAATCCACAAGCCATTAGTTTCTGCTGAAAGGAACAGACCAGGAAGACAGGAGTTAGTCGAGGGGAAGGAGAGGTTAATTAAGAGCCTGCCAAAGCCAGGCGGGGAGCCTGGAGTCCCCAGATGGGTGGGGTTGGCTGTTAATGGCCAGCCCCCTGGGGCAGCCAGGGCGAGGCAGGGATTAGCTGGGTAGAGCAAAAATTAGTGCAAGGGAGCCAGAGATTAGCCCAGAGAGGCCAAGGTGCCTACTGGAGGTGAGGCATGAAGTCACCCCCAGGTGTGGCCCTGGCTTAGCGACTGGCGGGCTCTGGGGGAGGCTGGCCGGGCAGGGGCAGGGGCGTGGACAGGATGGGGAGTGAGGGGTGACTTCCTGGCCAGCCTGTGGGCCCCTGGGATGCGTGTCCTGCTCCCCACTTCCTCTTCCCGGCGACCCCCCAGCTCTTGTACAGGTGCCTTCCTCACTGCCTTTGCGACACAGGTACAGACAACCCCTAGCTTCTGGGTGTGAGAGGGTCTAAGGCCCCCATCTACTTCCGGCACGAGTTTCGGGCCTATTCCACCTCTTGATGTAGAAACCCCTCTAGGCAACTTCCTGTATGGGAAAGGGCCTTCTCACTGATTTATTGGCCATCCTTTCTCAGTGCCTAGCGCTAAGGGAAAGCCCCTTTCACTGACTTCAGGAGTCAGAAGCCCCTTTTCTCAGCTTCAAGCATGGAGAATGCCTCTGTAGCTGGTTTCTTGTGTACTAAATGCTCTCCTCAATGATTTTTCAGTGTAGGAAAGACCTCTTTATTGACTTCCTACTTGGGAAAGGCTCTGCAGACTGACTTCCGGTGTGGGGTAGGGTCCCTAAACCAAGTTCCTTCTGGGGACACGCCCCATTTGACTTTCTTTCCAGAATGGCTTCTGTCTCTACCCCTTTCCAGTGAAGAACATTCCTTCCAGGGAAGGAAGCACAGCCCCTTTTTTCTGCTCCTCTGGCTGGGGAAAGCCCAGAACTGCCACTGTAGACCCACTGGCCTCCACACTCACACCCCAGAGGATGCCCTGGCCCTGCCCACTCCCAGTGGCAACCAGCCTTGTGCACAGAGGAGCGAGGTCATGCTCAGAGTCCAGCCTGCCGCATCCGCAGAGCCACCTCCTCCTCCTCTGGGTGTTGTTAATAAGGCCGTCCCCTGCCTTAGACCTGGCCCAGTGGTCTCTGATCTCACAAGCAGCCAATCTGGGATGTCGGTCTGCAGGGCCAGCCCAGGGACTTCTGCTTGCCAAAAGGAGAGGGACCAGCCCCCAGAGGGACCCAGAGCTCGGCAGGGCTGGGTTAGTAAGAAGAGAAAATAGAGTTAGTAGGGCTGGGTTAGTAAGTCAGCACAGCACCAGCGATGGGGGTGCCTTGGCAGACACACACAGGAGTCGCTAGGAGAGAAGGAAGAACGCACGCAGGCCCATTAGTGTGTTAAGGGATGGCGGGGCGCAGGTGAGGTGCCCCCAGGTTAGACAAGTTAGTAATCGGACAAGAGAGCCGCCTACGGAAAAGAAAGCTGACAGGGAGGAAGAATGTGGAGGAGACACAGTTAGGGATTCAAAGCAAGTGTCTGGCCCCAGGCAGAAGGGTCTGTGTGCAGAATACCCAGGAAGACTAGGGGCGGGTGGCGGCTGCTGCCAGCTGAGTTTCTGCCCCCACCCATCCCTTCTCTTTTTTAAAGTGTCCGCCAAGACCTTCATGAGGGTGAGAATTCTCACTGCAGCCAGTGAGGTAAGAATCAGTACTCCCTGTCTCCACCTAGGAAACGGGTACAGAAAAGAGGTGACTTGCTGAGAGTCCCCCCACTGGAAGTGGCCGATTGCTAAGTCATGCGCGTGCCCCGTCTGCAGTGAGCATCTGCACAGAGATCCCAGCCCAGGCCGGGCCCTCCGGACCCTTGTCTGCCCCCACGGCACAGCCGCTGCGAAGGCCCATGAGCTGCAGTTAGTAGGGTCTGGCTGCGGGGGGGTTAGTAGGGCATGCTTGGGCCTGGTTAGTGGGTTAGTCGGTTGGCTGAAGGCTAGGCGCCTCGTCACACGCCACAGCGTCCCGGCCGAGCCCTGGGTTAGTAGGTTAATCACACCATGCAACGCTGCCCGGCCCCCAGCTGGGGCTTGGGACCTCCTGTCCACCAGCTCCATCTGCACCCCAAGTGTGGAGCCTGACCAGGGCAGGGGATCCACCTCTGCGCCCCTCAGTCTGGCCAGAACTTAGCCTGGCCACTTGGGCCCTGCCTTATACTTCTGATCTTGGTGTGGGTCTCAGAGCCCTGCCTCCCCCACAAACACTTCGGGTCCCCTAGAGAGGGATGCTGCTTTTCCTGGGTGGAAACCCCCTGCCTGGTTCTGGTCAGGCCCATCCCAGAGGGCTGGGTCCTTTCACTCAGGCATGCATGTACACACACACACACACACACACACACACACACACACACACGTGATCCCCAGAGCCTCCATGCCTGGTGGACATGACACCCATCACGACTAGCCTGCCCTCCCCTCCTTCCCACAAACTGCGTAGAGCTGGCCCGGTGTGGAGCCAGGTTTAGACTCTCCTCCCTCCCTCCCTGGTCTGCTTCCTTTCCAGCCAATGCCACACAGCACCTAGTCACACCACCTTCTCTCACCAACAAACGCTCCCTACAGAAAACCCAGCCTTGCATCTCCCACGGTTCTAAGTGATGCTCGGTGAGAAAAGGATTCTGGGACCAGAAAAGCCAAGACACACATCACCCTCTATCCTGCCCCTGAGTATTTGAACTCCCCATGAGCATTTCAAAGGCTCTGATAAGTCCTTCGCTACCTGACCTTACTTTGAGAATCTTGATCTGGTTTCTCCCTAGAAGCTCTGGGCTAAGCCACAGCTTTCCCACCCTCCAAGGCCCTTGTTGGCTCAGCCTTGCTAGAAAGCCTCTCCAGACTGCTCTAGGCATTGCCCCCGTTCTCCAGTTCTCCATGTGAGCTGGCTTCCTCCCACTTGCTGTGGCTGTGTAATACTAAAGGTTTGAACCATGGCTGGATCTGCACTTATTTTCCCCAAGTGGCCGGTACATGAGTGAACTCCAAGTAGGCGCTCAATTCTGATGAGTAGAATTGACCTCTTCCCTAACCTCATTAGAAAGGGCTGTTAAGACAGCAGCCAGGGGAAGGGCTAGTCAGAAACACCTCTGGCTCAGAAGGTGCCAAAACGGAGTTAAATCTAAACTCCCAGTTAGGTGGAAGTGTTTACTGAGCACCGACTAAGCACCAGCACTGTGCCAGGCACATTACCTCTCTAGATGCTCCCTGCACCTGCTCACTAGGACCCCTGTGACTGGTCCCCGTTTCAGGGGGAGTGAAGGTTCATGGTGGCAGGGGGAGCTTCCCAGAGCTGTACAGCAGAGGGCGCACCTGAGACCTGACCTGGCTTCAAAGTGCAGGCTCTTTCTGGACTGGGATCTCTGCACAGGCTTCAGCCAGTTCTGCAATCCCCAGAGGAACCTTGACCCACCCTGGGCCCACATCTGCCACCCCCTGCTCTATTTTCCATTCACTTGTTCTTCCTCTTCCTGTAGGCTGGGGTTCTGGAGGGGTCACAGCACCAGCTTTCCGTGTTTGCGGTGACTGCCCTGCCACCGACTGAACTGTGTTCCCCAAAGTGCACAGGCTGGATCTCTAACCCCGCCTGGGGCTGTATGTGGACACAGGACCTTCCAGGATGTGACTGAAGTTAAATGAGGTCATGAGCCTGGGTCCCTGGTACCACAGGACTGGTGTCCTTATATAGACAGTCACCAAAGCGCCACAGAGAAAAGGCCATGTACGGACACAGTAGAAGGTGCCATCTGCAGGGGCCTCACCAGAAGCCAACCCTAGCACCTGGGTCTTGGACTTTCTGGTCTCCTGAAGCATGAGAAATAGATCCTGGGCACTGAAGCCCTGCAGTCTGTCCTCAGTATTCTGCTGTAACAGTATTCTGCTGAGCTGATGAACACCCACTACCTCCCCTTCCCCAGGGAAAGGACTTCTGGCTTTTAAACTGGTCTTAGGAAAGCCACAAACTAATCTTCTGAAGCAGTGGGACTGTCCCCTCTGTGGAGGGATGAAAGGGTCGGTGTACGGGGAAACTGCGTATGGGAGGGGTGCACATGGACCTGTCCTGCTGGCCTCTGCTCCCAAAGACAGAATCCAGGAGCACACATGAGGACTAAGGAGCTGACTGCTTAGCACCTGTCCTGAGCTTGGGTTCAGGTGGGCCTCCCAGCTTTGGGGGGTGTGGATTCTCTTTGGATGGCAGGAGTGAGACCAAGGCTGTCAGTTTGTGTCTAGTGAGCCTCCCTGGCCCCAGCATCCTCCTGTCTACCCCTTTTCTTTTTAAGACAGTGCCCTGCCCCATGCCCCACCATTACCGCCTAGATCTGGACACCACTGGGGAAAGGCCCTAGATCCTCCGAGGCCCTGACCACCTGCCTCTGGAGCCATCAGGGAAAAAGAGACATGGAGAAGCCTCACCCAGGAAGCCCCCCAAAATGACAAAAGATAGAAGACTCTGCTGGGTCCCCCAGAAGCCAAGTCTACCCTGCACTGGCAGTCCCTCCCCAACTTCATCTTTGTTGCGACCCGGCGCTAGGGGGTGTACCCAGGAAAGGGCTTGCCCAGGCAGAGCTGTGGTCACAGGGGACCCAGAGGAGGCATGCAGTCTGTACGGGGTAAGGAAGCGGCCTCCAGCCTCAGACGCTTGGGCCCAGCAGGAGGAGCAGGTGGAGAGCTTCGGCCTCTCCACACTCCTGGAGCTCACACCAGCCCAGGAATCTGCCCAGAGCAGCTCTTTTCAGAAGACTCCCACAAGCGCTGGGAAGGATGATGTCTTCAGAGGTGGGGCCACCGAAGGCTGCTCCAGGTTCCTGCAGCCAGAATCCATTCACCCAGCTCCCCAGAGCAGAGCAAGTCAGGAATCCTGGGGCTGTGCAGGGGGCAATGTGACCTGGGGAGGCACCGCACGGACGGTAAGGCCAAGGCCTCAGTCCCAGCTTCCCACCTCCTCCACCCAGCCCTGTCTGTGGTACACGTGCAGCTGAGACCCCCAGCCTGTCTCCCATGCTCCAACAGCCACACAGGGCAGAAGCCAGGGCTCTGCACAGGAAAATCTTTTAGAAGAAACTTAAGAGTAAGGAGGAGGTGATGAAAGCTGTGAAGGCATCCCAAAGCAAGCCCCAAGGTTATGGGCAGACGGGGAAAGGGTCGGGGTGGGAGGAAGGGACCTTCAGAGTTATGGGTGACTTGGTTTCTCTTTCCAACATTCTCACCAGAAGAACCTCTATACACACCATCCCAGCACACCCACATACTTCCCAGCACGGGGAGCTCACCTCCTCGCCGAACTGTGGGGACGTATGTTTCTACATGAAGAGCCAAGACAAGGGGACTGCGTGTCTGGTGTTCACCTCTGGATCCCAGTGTCCACTGTAAGGAAGATGCTTGCTCTTTTTCTGGGCGATGGAGGACTCTGCTAAAACCTCTACCGAAAGTCTATCTCCCGTGGTCTGGATTCATTCCCATCCACACCATGACCACACAGAGCAGCCTCTGGCCACCTGGATGCTGGGTCTTCTCCTGAGCAGAAAGATCTGGCCAGGCCCAGGCCAGAGTAGGGGGCACAGGAGGAAAGACAACCTACTCCCATGAGAGGAAGCTCACCAACCCCACCACCACCACCACTCCCTGCCCAAGCTTACCTGCAGCCTCCAGCCAACATGTTGGTGGCCCAAGCCCAGCTCCCAGCTCCTTCTGCACAGAGACCCCACACAGGGCCATCCTGGAAGATAGAAGAGCCACCCAGGCCGCAGGAGAGAACCACACCCAGGTCCCCACCCCAGCCCAGGGATACGGAGGCCCGGTAGCCCCAGCAACCTCCCTGCTCCCCAAGAGCAGAGTGTGACCCAGAAGAAGTAGGCCAAACAAGGCAGCTTGGGGACTGCTAAGTAAGAGCATTGGACAGAGGCAGGAATCTGCAGTTCTGTCCCAGCCCTGCACTTGCCATACTGTGGCCCTAGGAAATCTGTGTCATCCCTATCTCTGGGCCCTGGGATCCTTCCAGTGCCTAATAGTGACTGTCATTTGAGGCACTAGGTGGAAAACAAGAGGGACCTGTCCGCCCAGCCTCACCCTTCCCATCCCTTTCCTGATACCCCGGGTACTTGAGGAGACTAGGGGACCCCAGAAGAGGGTGGGATAGAACTCTTTTGAGACCAGCCTATGACACCAGTCTGGAGAAGGCCAGAGGATGCCCCTGAATCCTAACCCAGGTTTGCTTTTGGTCAGCTGTGCCATCTTCATCAGCCTGCAGATCGGAGCCAGGCAGTCAGGGACCCACCCTCTCAACATAACTGTCAGAGCTTGCTGTCAGTACCTGGCTAAAGCTAGAGACACACTTGGAGCCTTGCACTAAAAAGAATGTGTCCCACAGGGAACAGTGCTGAGGCCAAGGAGCCCTGGCTGAGGACAGGCTGATGGGCCACAGGCAGGTAAATTTGAATACTTATCTGCAAGGCTGCTTTCCTGTGTGGCCAGGACTGCCTTGAAGAACCTGGAAATTTCCTTCTCGCTTCTCTGTCCCAGGAACTTGTTGCAACTCTGCCAACAGACCCTGGGCTGCTCAGTGGAGAATTTTTTGACCCCTTCCCCTGGGCCTGTGTAATCAGAATCCTGGGTGTTATTAAGGCAATGCAGTGTCAAGGGACTTTAGCTCCTGGATTAAGCTAATGCTGCTTAAAGAGTAGAAACTAAGATGTGGACTTTAGGTCAACCAAATCCTGTTAAGACTGTGGTTCCCCAGTTCCACATACTGAATGTGTGACTCAAAGTTAATTATTTGGAAAGCTTAGCTAGTGTCTGGCACATAGTAGGTTTTCCTCTTTCTTTTCTTTTTTTTTTTTTTTTTCATCAATGACTTCAACCACGAGTACATCTTTGTGTGATACTTTTAGTCCAGAAATATGGATGATGTTTATCCTGGCGAATCCCTGCCCCTCAGTACATGTACCCCAACTAGGAAGCACAGAGCCAACTAAAATCCCCCATGGGATCAGCAGATTGTGTCATATCCATGCAATGAAATCTACTCAACAATAAAAAGAAGTGAACTGTTGATACATACTATGACATGGACAAACCTCAAAAACATGCTAAGTAAAAGAACATAGGTGTAAAAGAACTCATTTGTGTGATTCCATTTATATAAAATGTCCACAGAAGAAAAATCTAGGTGGGAAGTCGATGAGCAGTGGGCCAGGGATTAACAGTGGTATGAAGGATCTGATTGGAGCAACTGAATGTTCTACATACATATGGTTGCACAACCTGGTAAATTTACCAAAAACCACTGAACTGTACCCTGGCAATGGGGTGTAAACTATGTCTCAATGAAGCTGAACCCCCCTCCCCCAAAAAAGATTGAATTACTGGTTCATGGACAAGGATGAACCTCAAAAACATGCTGCACATTAAAAAGCCATACACAGAAAATTCTATATATAGAACTTTAGAAAAATAAAGCTATCCATAGTCACAGAAAGCAGATCAATGGTTTCCTGGAAGCTGGCCCTGACAGTGGATTGACAGGGGAGGACCCAGGGGAACACTTTAGTGTGACAGAAACATTCTACAGCTTGCTTGTGATGATGGTATATAGGTTTGTCACAAACCATTGAAATGTATACTTAAAATGGGTGCATTTTCTTGTATGCAAATGATACCTCCATGAGGTTCCTTATTCAGCACTTGTTTATATGTGATGAAATGGGCCAGACCTGAGAAGTGCCAGATCAAAAGGAGTTCCATGCTCCCTGCATCTCAGCTCTCACTAGGCCACACAGACCCCTGCTTCAAGCCAAACTCAGGGAAGCTGTCCTTGAGGGATTGGAACCAGATGGCCCTCTGGAATCTCTCCTACCTCTGATATCCAGGAGGGCTCAGCATGTTGGACTTCGAGGTGAACCTGATGGCATAGCATGAAGCTGGCCTCTACGTCCTGGTGTACACAGAGGAGAAGGAGCATGACCTCGGGTACCTCTCAGATGACACTTCGGCCATATGAACTTGTCTGGAAGCAATGGCTAAGCAGGGACATCCCTCCAGCTGTCATGGAGAGAAAGCGACAGGAGTGAGGGAATAAATACATAAAAATGCGCACGCTGGAGAAGGATGGCAAGCATCTGTCTCAAATCACAGCACTTCCCAAAGCGGATCTCCTCGGATGCAGGTCACAAGGAAACAGGAAGCCAGGAGGGATTCTGGTTAGGCCAGTGTCAAGCCCAAACATCCTAATGAATTGGAAAGGACCTGGGCTCCATAGCATGGATTCTACCAGCTAGCTTTACGACCTTGAGCAAATCCACTGCCACTCTGAGCCTCAGTCTTCTTATCCACAAAATAGGGATAATGACAGTGCCTACCTCACGAGGCTACTATGAGGATTAATTAAGATGCTAAGTATTCCCTACTAGCTTGAATTCTGCTCTGTTGTTGTTGTTGCTACTGCCCACGTTGCAAATTAACACTGTGCATGGGATGTTCTCTTTTCCCTTAAACAGCACACAGTATTCCTGGTAGCAAGAACAGCAACCAGAAAAGCATTCATAGGCTGCCTTTTAGGATCTCTCTAGGTTTTTGTCTTTCTCCCTGACTCTGGGATATAAGGTCTGCTCAGCGAGCTGAGGCCTACAAGAGACACTGGCCTAAATGGCATCAGATGCTTTGGTGCCGCAGAGGTGAGGAGCTCCCAAGAACAATGAGCCTTCCAGGGGACCTGCTGAGAAACCAGGGATTCTTCCACAGAGGAGAACAAAGTGCTACTTCTCACAAATTCAAACTCTGCATCCCCAAAAGAGGAGATGTGAAATTCAATTCTCCTCCAAATAAGAGAGCCCCTGAAGATAGGAAGGAAGAACAAAAAGGAGGAAAAGGAAGCTGAGCTAACGTTTATTGAGAACAGACACTAACTGCGGTCACCTTTATCAACATGAGACCAATGACTTGGGTTTTATTAGACCCATTTTACAGAGGCAGAAACTGAGGCTCACAGGAAAGTGGCTTGCTCGGAGGCCACCCAGCAAGAAAACTGTGCAATCAAGATTCACAGGCCTTGTGGACTCCAAAGGGAGGGAACACTTAGTTCCAATATGAAAGTGGGGACTAAATGAGAAGACTCAAAAGAGGTGTATATAAACCCCAAACTTGGTGGCCACCAGCCTTCCCATACCATGAGGGAACTGTCCCCAGATTGCTAAACCAGCTCTTCTCAGTTTATTCCAGTTGCTTTCATGGTCTTGAGGCAACTGATTAAGTTTCCTTTTAGGAAAGAGGTGCCCCAGACTAGGAGTTATAAACATGTTTCAGAGTCAGACTAGATCCAGGTTCAATTCCTGATTCTACAGCTAATTGCTGTGTGACCCTGAGCTAGTCACTTCACTGCTCTGAGCCTCAGCGGCTCACCTGTGGTGCCTACCTGGCAGCCGTACCCTGAGGTGTCCATGAGGTGGCACCCAGCAAGAACCTTTGTAGACAGGGCCTCAGAAGTACCTGGGTTGGTTCCCATTCACACTTACTCCGTCCCTGGGCCACAACCACCCAGCCCCTCCCTCCCTTCCCAGATGCACCCAGTCCCTTCCACAGGGGCCCACCTGGCACCATGAGGGAGAGGAGACACCTGCCTCCTCCCATCCCATCAGCGCGGACAGGGATGGAGAGACAGATGTCACCCTAGCCCAGACTGAGCCTCTGCCTCAGAGAATCTTTAGCTATTGTTCTGCAGAGCTCCAGTGACAGATGAGCTGGGCCTTAGAGGCAGGGGAGGGGTCCCCAGGACAAAGACCAAGCCTCTAAGTTATTCACCAGCCCATTAAGCCGGCACAAAGGACTCAATGCCCCAGAAACATGCAGAGCAAACAGTCCAGGATCACCAGAGGCCACGCCCACAGCAGAGGGGAAACAGCAGCTAGCAGAGTATCGCCACTCAGGTGTCTGGACTGGAACTAGGCTAGCCCACCACAGGTACACAGGGCAGCAGCCACCTCTCTCAGCACCTACGGGTCAGGTTCCTTACACACACTGGTGCTCAGCCGAAGCTGGCCTCAAACACCGGAGTCATGCTTCCCATGGTGCAGATGGGGAGACTGAGGCTCAGGGAAGGAAAATGTCCTCCTTCCTGAAACTGGCACACAGCTTCGTGACCCTCCCCCGCCCTTCTCTCTTCACCAAGCTGCTGTGCCTGATAAATGCATTCATAGGAGCACAGCCCTGTCCCAGGAGGGAGCACAGTCACGTCGGAAAAAGAGAACTTGAAATGAAAATGCAGGGGAGAAAAGGAAGCAATTGGCAGATGCAGCCATAGGAAACTGACTATCCCATCATATTCATCTCCTCCAGGAAGCGCTAAGATCTGTTACATGGATTTCTGCAAAGGTCAGAACAACACAGAGATACAGCTGATATAATTTTATAAAACAGGACACATATGGAATAATTTCAATGAACATTTTAGTAATGAATATATACCAGAGGGCCGGGGATTTAGCTCAGTGGTTCCACCACCTGCCTCTCAAGCGCAAGGTCCTGAGTTCAATCCCCGGTACCAAAAAAATATATATATATATACCAGAGGGAGTATATAAAAGTAAGGTCTTCTTTTATTTTTGCCTTTCCAAATTTTCTACAATTATAATGCATCTTAATAAATACATTAAAAATCACCAAAATTTATAAAACTCTTCTCTCCCCCATCCCAGTACTGGGGATTGAACCTAGGGCTTTGGCACTGACCTACATCCTCACCGTTTTTGACCTTTTTAAATTTTGAGGCAGGGTTGCACTAAGTCACTAAGTTGCCCAGACAGGATTCAAACTTGTGATCCTCCTGCCTCAGCCTCCCAGAGTAATGGGATTACAGCTATCCACTACCACACCCAACTCCTGATAGAACGTTTTAAAGCAGGATATATATAGTATAATTTCAATTATAATTTTCAGTAATAAAATTATACCACAGGGAAACATAAAAATAGTTTTCTTATTTTTGGCGTTTCCCAATCTTCTACAATTATCATGCATTGTATTAAAAGTGTTTTTTTAAAAAACCAAAAATTTTATAACTCTCATTTTTTAATGCAAGCATAAAACGTTATTCTCCTGAAGTTGGTGGTAAAGCCCTCTGATTCCTCTTTGGGACTCTGAAGACTTGAGGTGCCTTTTGTCAAGGGTCACATTGCAATAAGAAAGACGCAGAGTAAAAACATCAAAACCAGTCTTATGGCAAAAGTCATGAAATGATAAAACAAGCAGGCAGGCGGGGGGCGGGGGGGGGGACGTAAAACCTTTCCACAAGAAATCAACCGCACTCGGGATGGATGAGCTCCACGTCACCCAGAATTAGGGGGTGGCAAAGCGCCCCCAGGAAATGGCTTGCCCAGGCTGCAGCAGCTCTCCCCTGGGGAGAGGGGGTGCTGTGCCCGCAGCAGAGTCTGACCACCTGCCAAGGTATGGGGGGGTGGGGGGGTGGAGTAAACCTCCAGAGGCCCAGCCCCACCCCAAATCTGCTGACGCATCCCCCAAGGCCACGTGGCCCGTACATCTGCGTACGGAGCAACGCCCCCCGCGAGTCTGCGAACAGCGGAGCTCAGGTTTCCCTGTCTGTCAAGTGGAATTACTCATCCCTACCCTTCGTCTCCCGCCTCCCCTGGCGACCGCGACGCGCCCAGGTGCTCCCAAACCAGAATGCGCTTAGAAACGCAAGGCGCTGGGCCCGGACCCGGTCCCCCGCCCTGGGCTGCACTCTGGCCGAGGCTGGCACGGAGAAAAACAAAGCCGCGGCCCCTCCCTGGCCTCCCTCTGGCCCACCCCTCCCTCAGCAGGTGGGGCGTTCTTGGCGCCGCCGCCCCGCAGTGGGGTGTGAGCGCCAGCAACCCCGGGCACGCGGCAGCCTCCGGGCAGCAGCCTGGGGGCGGGGCGGGGCGGGGGGGGCGGACCCTGGGCGTCCACCTGCACTGTCGGAGAACAGACGTCTCTAGCGCAGGGCCCTCCTCGGGAGGAGAGTTGAGGGTTAGCCCTTTCCCTCTAAATCCCCACCCAGCCTTTCTAGCGAGTGTACTAGAGCTGGGGAGAGGCGGGGGCGGGGGATCCGAACTGGTGGCTCCGGGGTCTTCCCAGGGTCTTCTAGATATGCAACAAGGGCTTCGGAGTCGGTCGCGTCTGCACTCAGAATCGCCGGCTGTGTGACCTTGGCTGGGTCGCTAACCCTCTCCGGATCTCCATCTCCTCACGGTTAAATGGGGTTCTTACCGCCTCGTGGGACTGTTGTGGTAGAGAAACCGCTGCCTGGGCTGATGAATTACCTTCACCGTAAACAACGTCGTTCTTCTCCACAGGGGTGGTTTCTGGACTCCGGCCTCTGGGAACCACACTGGACGCAGAACATCTGGGGTTTGAGTCCCAGAAGTGAAGGACCGACGCGCGGGGGGGGGGGGTCCTGTGTATGGGGGAGGGGAGCACCAGGACCCCACCCTCCAGTTCAGGACCTTTTGGGCTCAGTCCCTGGCTTGGTCGGTTAGCGGCTAACCTGGTGGGCCGAGGAAGGTCCGGGCTCCCCACCCTCACGTCTGTCTGGTAGTGGGGGAAGGGAAGGGTCTTTGTTCCCCCTCAGGTCAGGACTGCAAGCCCCCCCCCGCCCCGCACTGGACTCCCGGCCTCCCGGCCTCCCTTCCCTGCCCCTTCCCCACACCCGTTACCGTCCGGGCCAGAGTCTTGACTGCTTTTGACAATTGCGGGCTGGGCGATGCGGGGCGCTTTCCTGAGCCCTGCCCTGGGACACTGGGACCTACCGTCGTCGCCAACCTCGGAGCAATGGGCTGCTCCCGAGCGGGGACAAGGCTACCGGCGAGCCGGGGCTGTGAGCACGGGGCCGTGGCTCACCTGGGGTCCGCGGTCCTGCGGCTGGAGTGCGGAGGGCTCTTTGTGCCCCGGCTCCCAGCGCAGAACTGGGGGAGCCCCCGCAAGCGCCTCCCCTCGCAAACTCCTCCCCGCACTCGTCCGCAGCCTCCCTCCCTCTGGTCCCCAGCGCAGCCGGCGTCGTCTTTGTAGCTGCTGCAGCGCCCATGAAATTTTAATGCGGGAGTGGCTGGCGGCGGGCAGAGGCGCCCCACCCCGGCCCTCTCCTCTGCCCTCCTCCCGCCTCCCTGAACCCTGCGACCCCACACTACTCGCTCACGCCCGCCCCGTAGTCCGGCCCGGAAAGCCAGTGCAGCCGGGAGTGGGGGGAGCGCACCGGCGCCCCCGCGGCACAAAGGGGCGAGCTGGGCTGTGCGCTCAGCCTCCAGCATCCCCGCCCGCGGCGCTGCCATGACAACGCTTGCCGGCTGGACTGGCCTCGGAGAGTCAGGGCTTGAGAGGCGCGCGCGCAGGTGGGAACCGCGCGGCCGCGTACCTCGGGGAAGAAGCCTGAACCCCAGAGTAGAAGAGACTCGTCCTGGAACACCAGGTTCTTAACCCGCAAGGCTTCGGTGTAGCTTCTCAAGAAGCCCTGCCAGATGCGGACATGGTTAGGTGGAGTCAAGATTTGAACCCAGATCTGTGACTTCAAGTCCCGATATGCGCCTCTACACACGCCATTAGTCCTAACATGTATAGGTCTGGTCGCTTATTTTAGCAGCCTCCTCCTAAGTTACCTTCTGTTTTCTAGTTCAGAGAGGTGAGAAAGTGGCCTTACGTGGCTGTTTCACCAATCACTAATCAGACCATTTGCATCGCTTAAAAACTAGAAATTCAAATTCTTGGACCCTGCCCCGCCCTGATGCTACTGAACCAAATTCTGGGATGAGTCCCAGAGGTCTGTTTTTAAAAGCCCAGCAGGGGATTCTGATGCACGTACGAGCTGGAAAACCACTGTGCTAGAACGTGCTCTTGACCTCTAGAACCTGACTGTCCCAACTGCCAAGTTTAGCTCTGTCCATGCTGGTGACCAGATGTGACCTTAGGCGGCCTACACACCCTTCCTGAGCCTCTGCTGTCTGATTTAAGTAGATGATAATGGAATCCATATCACAAGATTGTGTGGGTTCCATGACGGAGGACACTTTGCACAGAACCCGGCACTTAGTAAAGGCTCAGAACGTATTTTTATTAATAGGTCACCTTTCATTTTCATGCTTTTGTGTCTGTCCTTTGTCATCTTTATTGCTCAGATTAAGAGGTGGTGACAGTGATGGCAGGTGCTCATGCCCACTATAAGGGCCCCAGGTAGGATTTGAACCCTTCCTTTCAAGTGCCAAATTTACTAGCCGTGGTCCATACTGTGGTGACACATCCACGGCACAGCTGCTACAGCCAGCTGTGAAAACTCTAAAAGGTTCACCATCACTGGTCTATACCATGGCCTCCTCCCCCAGACTGGATTTCAGAACATCCAAACCCAATTCCACAAATCTATAGCACATATCTAATGTGTCCAGCCCAAGACCAGTGCAGGAAGCCTGAGGGTCCCAGGAAGCCCTCAGAGACAGCCTCCTCCCTGCAGAGCAAACAGTCCTGCCAGGAGGGGGAGACCCATGTGGAACAGCCAGAGAAGAAGCACAGCACGGTGTGGCCACAGGTCACCCAGAGGACACAACCTAGTTGTGGTCTTCCCCAGGTATGTAGTTTCCCTCCTCAACAGGCTCATCTCCCTGGACAGCAAAGGGGATGGAACTTGCCATGATACATTCTCAGAGAGCACAGAGGATGTGAGAAATCGCTACTTTGTCTTCTAAATTGTCCTAAGCCACCTACTTCATAATCTGCCTAAATCCTCTTGTGTATCAATCCATCATTTCCAATATCCATTTGGAAAAAAAAGTCAAGGCACTTGTCTACCACCAAGTTTGCCATACTTCTCCTATTCCCTGGGGCTTGTTGAACACGTCTGGTAATGAGTCCATGATTGTATTTCCAAGCATCTTTGGCTCCAGAGATATCTTCGTGAGGTAGGCAGAGGTGGCCAACAGGGAAGGATGACACTGGGCCCCTGTGAACATACCATGTCTAACTCCAAGGGACTTAGAGTAAGCCATAAATTGAGCAGTGCAAGGTGGGGACAGACCTATTTGTGTCGAATCCAGCTTGGGCTGGCCTGGCTGTTCTCTGTCCCCAGTTCTCTAACATGACATATTTCTTCATCATGGGACAAATCAAAATATTTCTCCTGGGGTGGGGGGCTAGTTGGTCTTTTGCCTTCCATTTGTCCATCTCTTGAGAACCTTCAGAGTGAGCAAAACCTTCCCTGTATTCTCCATTCTCCCAGGAAGGTTTATTGGCCTTATGCTTGGGGCAGGGTCAAGACCTCCTTTGGGAGTCAGATCTAGTGTGGTAGCTATAGCTAGCATCCTCCTCAGCTCCCCATCTACTTAACTCTGACCCTGACCTTATCTTATGAATAGACCTGGGACAAAGTAGAGCACAGCCCAAGATCATACATGTCATTCTTGCCACAACTGACCAAGAGCTCCAGTCTTGCAGAAGATTTTAGGGGTGATGCTAACTTGAGCCCCAGGAGCCTGTGAGCAGATAAAGAAGCACCCCTCAAAGAGATTTGCTAATGTTCCCTTTTTTGCCTTTCTTGAAAATGACCTGAACCACTTATGGAGAGTTGGTTGCCATGGCAGCGAAAAGAGACACCATCAGACCTTTTAAAAGGTGCACTTCAAAATCAAGTTTGTGTCTTTCATCTGGACCTGTCCCCTCCCCTATTCCCATGAGGCACCATGACTTCAAGGGTCTGCAGATTAGATGGTCTTACTACCCAGCAGCCCAAGACTTCCAGAGGGGGATTCTGACCCTGGCAATATGTCCAGGAAAGAAGAACCTGGGTCCTTCCTCTCTTCATTCCTAGAGAGATGTCCAGGGTAACATGCCTTTCAACAATTCCCTGCAGCTACAAAATTTCCCCTTCTCCGAAATCACATTCAGAGGCTTTGAATTTGGCCCACTGACACTGTCCTCAGTGCTTTATCCACCAGTACTCTTCATCTCTGACATAGGAGGAAAGTAAGTCTCAGAGAGCAGAAGCAGCTTCCCCAAGGTCAGCCAGCTAAACAGTGATGAAGCTGCTCTGGGAACCCAGCATTGTCTGACTCCAAAAGCTGCACTAGGAATGTCTGCAGACCTCTTTGCATTCACTCTTGAGCCATCCTTCCCTGGGAAGGGACAAGCCTCCCCAGCCACCTGGACAACAAACCACTGCCATGCTTGGGTCATTCAGAGGGCATCCATTGCCCTGCCCTAGGCATCACAGCAATGATTCATCTCTGCCTCTGTTTAGAAGGAACATAATAGCCTCAGGGTCATTGCCACCGACAACTGGATTTAGAGGTCCCCTACATTTTATCTCTATCCTGCCCCCAAAGTTGCCTAAATGTGTGGCGTCCAGCAGCCCTATGGATAAGGGACCGAAGGAGCTGTTAGCATGGGTTCTCTCAGATGCAGACCCTGAGATAAGGGTCTCAGTGCAAGGAGTTTGTCCGGGAGGTGATTCCAGGAAGCACTGATGGGGGGTGGGAGAAAGGCAGGAAAGAGAAGAAAACCAGAAGAGACTATAATGATTGTACTCATTTGCTAGGGCTACTGTTTGGTTTTTTGTTTTGTTTTTTTTTTAAAAAAAAAAAAAGCCCAAGTGGCTTAACCAGCAGATTTTCTCAGTTCTGGGTCTGGAAATCCAAGAGCAAGGTGCAGGCAGAGCTGGCCTCTCCTGAGTCCTCTCTCCTTGGTTTGCAGACAGCACCTTCTCACTGTGTCCTCAGATGGCCTTGCTTCTGTGCAAGCACACCCCTGGTGTTTCTTCCTCTTCTTAGAAGGACACCAGTGCTATTGCATTAGGTTCTCACCTTTTGGGCCCCATTGAACTTTATTTACCTCTTCACAGGCCCCATCAGTGAAGGCCCCTACATAGGAATTTGGGTAAGGGGACCTCAGTGCCATCTACAGCTATGGACAAGCTCCGTGGGCAACCAGGACTCCACCCTGCTGAGGTTTCCTGGAGACTGTGAGACACACCTGACTCATCCAACCTGGAGCACTCATGCCCTCAACTTTCATCTGTCATGGCTGAAGGCTGCTCCTACACCTCCAACCCTGGCTACCTCCAGGATGCCCCAGACACAACCCAGGTCTGCACCTTCGGCCAGAGGAAGCCCTCAGCAGGGGCTCACGTGTACAGTCTGGCTGGGAGCGATGAGTGTTCAGGAAACCACCGATTGTCCGGGTTCCCATCACGCATTCACTGCCCAATCTCCACTGCCCCTTACACCTTGCAGAGCCAAACCCAAATCCGAGAGATTCAGGGGCTCCTGGTGTGAGAATCTGGCTCCCATTACATGCCACCCTAACCTGTGACAAATGTGACAGAGCCTTTGCCTCTAGAGCCCTTGTCCAAGGGAAAGGCATAAGTCAGTTTGCAACTATGACGGTTGCCACAATAGAGGAAGTTCGGGAGACTTGTGGGAACATATATTAGTGACACAACTACTCGAGATCAAAAAAGGGCCTGCCAAGCATCAGGCACTATAGTAGGTCTTGAAACTTTAAAATTATAAGAATAAGTACAACTGCATCAACACTATTTTTTTTCAGGACCTTATTGGTCTTGAGTAGCAGAAACAAGTCTAAGATTCCACATAGTTTCCTGGGCACTTGCATTAGTCTGTTTTCTGTTATTGTAAGAAAATACCCAAGGCCTGGCAGTGTATAAAGAAAATAGATTGTTTATGTAGATCATGTTTTTGGAGACTGAAAGCCCAAGATCAAGCAGCCTGCTCATACATCATATCACAGCAGATGTCATCATGGCGAGAGACATTCAGGGGTCAGGCTGGATCTTTGTGTAACAACTCACATTCCTGGGAAATAACCAGGGTTCCACAAGAACTACAATAATCCCTTCCAAGGGTCGTGCTCCAGCGACCTAGTCACCTTTAACCAGGTGCATCTGTTAAAGGACTCACCACCTCTCAGACCGCCACACTGGGGACCAAGCTCCCAGCATGGGAATCTTTGGAGGACACACCCAGACCACAGCAGAGCTCAGATGACACCACCAGGAGCCTGTCTATGCCCTATGTTGGCTTTACTGCCCCCTGGGCAGCTTCATTCACAAGAAGGCCCTGCCAGTTCACAGCCATGTGGCTCCCAGCCCCGTGCTTTAGCCCAGGTCTGGAGCCAGGTCCCAGCCCACTTGCCATGGCCCTCGTGTCCCTGAACTGAGAGGTGGGGTGGACACTCAAGGTGAGCTGTTAAAAGGAGAGAGTAA